AAAAAAAAAAAAAAGAACTCTCTTCATTTTTCTCTCTCCACCTCCCTGACCAACCCCCACCTCAAAAATCAGAAGAACAAATCATCAAAGGGAAAAAAATTAAAGGAATTTGTCTAAAGACATGATTAGTCATAAAGGGCTTTCATGCTTTTTTTCCTTTTTGCTATTCACATCAGATGTTAATTATTTTTCAGGTTATTGTGCCAAATCTCAGATGCCAAGAGAAAAAGGAAAATTATCCATGACCTTTCCCTTCCCCAAAGGAAAAGCCTACAGCTGAAAGAAGCAGCCCTGTTCGCTTCTTCCCTCACAAAACCCTGGCACTTCACCAGCTGTAAATCAGTTCAATGATTTGTGGAAGTGACTGGGAGGTCTTAGTGCCCAAACTTCCCCTTGACAACCTGCATTAATTCTGTATAAAGTTCATGTCCACGGCCACCAAATATGAATGTAAAAAGAAAAAAAAATCTTGAATATTTTTCTAGTGATAAAACCGTTTATGCAAGTTGTTTAAATGATAGAATCTATGGCAGACACACCCTAAGGTGACACCCCATAAGTCACACTCTTATATAATCCCCTTCCCCTCAAATGCAAGCAGAATCTGTGATTTGCTTCCAACCAACAGAAAATGGCATGGGGGAGGAGATGTCATTCTTGTGATGATTAGGTTACATTATATGGAAAAGATAAAGGAGTTTTGCAGATGGAATTAAAGTTCCTAATCAGTTGACTTTGAGTTAATAAAAAGGGAGATTTCCTCGGGTGGGCCTGACCCTAATAAGGTGAGCCCTTTAAAATAAAGGTCTCAAGATCAGAGATTTGAAGCAGCAGAGATGCTTCCACAAATACTATAGGCATAAGGAAATGAATCTGCCTGCAACCTACAGGATCCTGAGGTGGATAATTCCCTAGTCAAGCTTCCAGATGAGAACACAGCCCAGCCAACACTTGATTTCAGTCTTGTGAGACCCTGAGCAGAGAACCCAACTGAGTGATGGCCCAGGGTTCAGATCTCTAGAAACTGTGTCATGACAAAAATGTGTTCTTGTAAGCACCTAAATTTGTGGTAATTTATTATGTAGCATAGAAAAGGAATATGCATGCTAACACTGCAACCAGGAGCTTTTTGCTTCTCTAAGGGGTTTAAGTTTTTTGGAATTTTCTAAGTTAGAGAAAATATCTCTACTTACCTCAGTCATGATGACAAATCCAGACACACCCTCATTTTACCACCCTCCACGTATCCCCCACGTGTATCAGAGTGAGAGGATATACCTTATCCTCCCCCATTTTATTCCTTGTGTTTGAAAGAATCATCATGCATCATTTGACAATATGTTTTGAATAGGCCCAGTACCTGACCCATATTCCCAGTCATCCCTCAAGTTCTAATTTTCCCAAAGCTTGAGTGTCAGTCTGCTGGACAAGAACCTTCATGCTGTTAATTCCATTTTGTTATGGGCACCCAGGGGACTGATTATAGGTAATAAGTTAAATATTAACAGAGACAGAGTGACAAATTGAGATAGTCTAGCTGAAAATCCCAGAGTCCTCACCAAAATTTAGATAGAAATCAACCCTCCAATATACCCTGTAGTGTTTCCTTTGAGAAACATTTTCTTTGCTGCCCTATAAAATTTCCTACGTGTCTACCTCCTTCACTCCAAATAATACTTTATCCATTTTGCTTCATGTGCAGAACGGAGCAAGACGCCCCTATTGGTAGGTTTATGGATCTACATAAAATAAATATCGTTCTTCTCTACCCAGCAAATGTGGAGAGCTGAATAAATAGATCTACCCCCACTGCTACCAATAACCATCCCTTTTCCTGTGAAATTACCATCAACAGTCCATGAATCACTTGGTTCCCTTAAGTTGCTGCTGGATATTTTAACTTCAAATGACACATCACTTTGCAGTAAAGCAACGGAAGCATTACTTAAACCAAAAGTACCAAATGTGAAAGGACAGCATGAGAGAGTGAGTTCCTGGAGGATGGGCACAATTTGTATTCTTCTTTGTATTTTCTAGGGTTTCAGGGTTTTATACACAATAAACCCTTAGTTGATGTTTATAGGACTGAACTCAAGACAACTGAGCAAGTTCACTATCACCACGAAGGAAAAGAAAGGCTCAGCCCCTAATCATTACCTTTTATACCTTGTTGTCACTACCTATCCTCCTGCCTCATCTCTGGCCATTCCAAATATTGGTCCTACAATAGCCATGGAGGGAGAAAAAACTAAAAATTTTAAAAAATCTGAAATGCTATATATATGGGCAGAACAGAGCAAGATGCCCCTTTAAGTAGGTTTATGGATCTACATAAAATAAATACCTTTCATGGAACTGGAGGGTATTATGCTGAGCGAAATAAGTCAAACAGAGAAAGACATGTATCACATGACCTCATTGATATGAGGAATTCTTAATCTCAGGAAACAAACTGAGGGTTGCTGGAGTGGGGGGTGGGGTGGGAGGGATGGGGTGACTGGGTGATAGACACTGGGGAGGGTATGTGCTCTGGTAAGCGCTGTGAATTGTGCAAGACTGTTGAATCACAGATCTGTACCTCTGAAACAAATAATGCAATATATGTTAAGAAAAAAAAAAGAAGAAGATAGCAGGAGGGGAAGAATGAAGGGGGCGGAATCGGAGGGGGAGACGAACCATGGGAGACGATGGACTCTGAAAAACAAACTGAGGGTTCTAGAGGGGAGGGGGGTGGGAGGATGGGTTAGCCTGGTGATGGGTATTAAAGAGGGCACGTTCTGCATGGAGCACTGGGTGTTATGCACAAACAATGAATCATGGAACACTACATCAAAAACTAATGATGTAATGTATGGTGATTAACATAACAATAAAAATTAGAAATAAATAAATAAATACCTTTCTTTTGTACCAAGCAAATGTGGAGAGCCTAATAAACATATATAAAGTATATATATATATATATATGTACACACACATACATATGTATATACGTATATATATGCATACACACACACACATCTTCTGTATCTGCCATTAGAGTACTATTTAGTCTCTGTCTCCTAAATATTTATTGGTATGTTAATTATTGGCACCAAGGAAATCCTATTTATTGTATTTAAACTACAGCGGTTCTTTGGACTTCTAAATCGACATCATTTACTGAGATTACCAGTATTTACACTCTGTGCTGTTAATTTCTGAGATAGACAAAACACAAAAAGAAAGAACTGCTCATCTGTTGAATTGAACTCATCTTCATTTTATCCTACAGGCCACCAGCAGCATTTAAATCTAACAGAGAACAACTTCTCAATCAGCTTAAGCTTCCCTTTTAACTCTTCTAGTCTCACCCAGTAACATTCTTACCTCAAACAGTGTTACAATCCAAGAACTGGAAGCACTCACCTTGCATCTGTGGCTGGTACACAGTAGTTAAAAATGTCTGTTGAATGGAAATGAATTTCAAAGAGCCTGCACCAGGGTTTGGATCACTCTCAACTGGATGTTGACAGAACTGATTAGGCAATCTTTGTTTTCAAGGGCCAAAAGAATGTCCACAAGCTTCCTGGTCGTATATACTCAAGTCACTGCTCCAACCACCAACTCCCACATTCACCGCACTGCTCTCCAGAGTAGCCTCCTTCCCCACCTGTCTCTCACCTTCCACACCCCACAACTATATCGCTACCTCTGACGGAGATCGGACCCAGTCTCCACTTGACCCAGCCCTGACTGTGGCCTCCTGCCTCTAGTAACTTCCAGCTACGCTCCTCCCCGTGCTATCTTACACAGCTTTCTCTCTTCTGGACAGAGAATCCTTTGTAGGACCTGTCTGCCCATGGAGGCTTCTGGTTCTCACCTTCTTGAACATCCTTGCGGCCACTATCTCGGGTCAGGCCTTCACTGTCTATTGCCTGAATCTCATAATAACTGGCTAACAGTGCCCACCACCTTTAGCCCACCACCTCTACTCCTACTGATCTCCAATCCACTTTCCACAGTGCTGCCAGGGTCATCAAAATACAAATCCGACTGAGTTATTTCGCTACTTCAAACCCAAAAATCCCAATCAGAATATACACTCCTTAGCAGTGACAGACAAGCGTTCCTGCATTTCCAACCTTCGTCCGCCGGCAGGCGCATACCCCGGTGCTCAAGCCCACCACCCTGCTTGCCATTTCTCCAAGGACCCGTGCTCACTCGTGCCTCCATGCTTCCGTCCAGGCTATGCCCCCTACCTGGTTTGCCCTACTCATCTTTAAAGATAAACCTTAGGCTAAGTGAATTCTCTCTCCTAAGCACTCCCAGAGCACACTGCACTTCTAGACTGTGGCACCTAACGCACTCACCTGTCATCAATTATTATTTTTCTCTCTCCTCCCCTAATCTGTAAGCTTCCTTAGAGAGAGACCACATCTATCTTGCTAATTACTGTATCACTTGATAAATATTTGACTGACTAAATACAATAATAATAATAATAGTGGCAGCTAACATTTATTCAGTACTTCCTATGTGCCTGGCACCGTTCTAAGTACTTTACACGTGTTAACTCATGTAATCCTCACACTAATCCTAAATATCATTATTATCTCCACTTTACAAATAAGGAAATTGTGACTCAGAGACATTAAATAACATGCCCGAGGTTATATAGTCATAACATGACAGAGTCAGAACCTGAAGCCAGGAATCCAGAGCCTAGGTTCTTCAGCCCTCCTCCATACCGCCTCTCCATTTACGGTTCAGTTCAAATGGCACCTTCTGTGGAAACCATCTCTTACCATCCAATCTGAGTTAGATGTTTCTCTTCTGCATCCCATGATACCATATATAACACCTGCTTCATAGTATTGATCACGCTGCACTTGATGACTTGGTGTCTATTCCCATTATTCCATGAGATCCTGGAGGGCAGGGACTTTGACTCTGTCTTGATTTCCTTTGTATCCCCAGGGCCCAACACATGGTAAATACTCAAATTTTTATGGATGGATGAATAAATGGATGACTGGGATAACCTGAGCTGGAGCCTAAGCATTCATTTCCAGATTATCCAGCAGGTGGCAGAAGAAGACAAAAGCTGAACAAAGGACCAGCGGCCTTACCTTTCACACTTGTCACTTTCTTCATGATGGCTTCCTGCTGTTGGTACAGAGTCACCGTCACGGTGGCCCCCGATGTGCCATAGCCCCAAATCACTGCCCCGGCAGGCTCCTTCTGCAGCACCATGTAATTATTGATGTATGAGGCGAAGCGAAAACCAACATCTAAAAAATGTAACAAACACTTAGAAGAGCATCATCGGGACATTCATCACCAGTTGAAGCTGCTTAAACAGCAAGGAACATAAAGTCTTTATACAGGGCAATTTGAATATATCCAGTCCTTTTCATCTTCTAAAACTAGATCTTATTCCTTCTAATTAGGTGAGTGACCTAACAAGAACAGTTGCCAAAGATATGCAGCATAGTACACGGTGACCAATAAAAGGAAAACTCAAAGAGCCTAGGGCAACCAATGTGCCACCAGCCTCCTCCCCCTCAGAGCTCTTGACCTGCCTTTGCCCTTGGGCTTGGCCCTGATGCTTCCCTCTCTCCCCCCCCCCAATTGCTAACACGCTCCTCTTATACACCCCACAGATGGTATTTATGAGAAAAATAAACCACTTCCTTCCCCTACTTTCCATTACCACGCCCACTCCTTGTTGCTGGGAATAAAGAAACCTGCCACTCTCCAACACAGCCTTCCCTATCTTTCCCCCCACTCTTTATCTCCCCTTTTGCATCCTACCAGTGTCGATTTCCCACAAATAATTCCCCTTACTGTGGTTTTTTTTTTGACAACCCACTGAAAATTCTAAATAAGCATTTATGAATATCTGCAATGTCTCCTTCCTTCTAAGGTAAATACAGATAAATAAGATGAAATAATAAGGTCAGTGAGAAATAGAAGGTCAAAATGTCAGAACGAAGGTCTTCCATCTCAATTTTACCCATTTCACAAGCTAAATTATATAAAAAGCACAAGGAGAGCACTTGAAACTGTAGATTCTATTCTAGAGTCACTAACAAGACTGAATAAGAACTCACTTTAACGAGATCATTCCTATTTTTAACATGCAGCCTATATTGAAGTATTTTATTAATAACAAGCATCTATCCAAATTATCCCAGTGAGTTCCTCATCAAAACTTAACAAGGGGAAAAAAAAAAACTTCTTAAGTTATGTCCCAATTTGTCTGAACAAAACAGACTAAAATCCCTAGAAGAAAATAATTAACAAAGTTAAGATTTTTTTTTTAAGGGCTTTAAACAAAAATGATAGGCAGGAAAGAGAATGAGAACTAACAAGGTTGACATTTTCCTCCCTGGAAGCTACCAATAAGGATGGCCCCTTAGGCTACGCTTAACAGGGCAGTAGAGTTAATGGGGTCTCCTACACAGATCTGGTAGCCTATTTATCCTGTGCTGTGAATAACAGCCCAGTCGCTAAACATCCTCTGCTCTCCCTCTCTCATGAGTTTTAGTTCCATCAAAAAACCGACATGACAACCAAAGATCATCCAGAAGGCTGTATAATGGGCTGGAGATGCACAGCTACCACAAGCAAAATGCTCTAAGAAGAGACTCTAACACCGCACAATTGCATAAGCAGGTTGGCAGCATGCTGGAGGGAAGGGGAGAGGCACATGTGTGGGAGGGCCTAGTCTTGGGTAGGTACTTCATATGGAACAAAAACTGGAAACTAAAGGGCTAAGAGCTAAGCAGAGACGGGAGTGGGGGGGGGTACAGAGTGAAGGAAACTGGCTGTCTGCTCCCAGATGAGCCTGCGGAAATAAAGGGCGCTCTGAGTGCAGCCATTGTCTTCCAGGCTGGGGACACGTCTTTCCAAGTCCGTCTGTTTTCGCCGACACACACTTACTGGACCTCCTTGTGCCTGGCTCTATTCTGCGTTAAAGAATTTTAAAGGTAGAGAGAATCTTTCACACCCCTACGTACAATCATGATCAACAGACTAACACCCGGCTAGTTTAGGTAATTGAGGTTAATAGCTTGCATATTAATTAATTCGACAAATATTTATTGATGCCTACTGTGTGTCAGGCACCACTTTAAGCATTGAGGCTGTAACAGTAAGAAAAAGAAAGAAAAAAAAAAAAAAAAACAGACAAAAATCCCTGCTAGCAGCAGGGAGCTTACGTTTTACTGGGGAGCTTACTTGGGGCAGGCACAGTGTTAAGCATACGTCAACTCCTTTGACCGACCTGAAATCACATAGGTAGTTTATGACAGGACTAGAAACCAAGCCACCTGATTCCAAAGTTACTGCAATTTCCACTCTGCTGCAGTTAGATACTGGTGGTAAATTAAAAAAAAAAAAAAAGTCATATTCCCTGCCCTTATAAAGCTCACATTCCAAGCCGATAAGAGTAGACAGTGGAACATTACCAAGGAATTGAGCAATGGACAAAATAGGAGAATAGGAAAGGAGGCAGGACTGCTCATTCTTTTTGTCAAACACAAGACACTTAGCATTTGAATTTTTTTTTTTTTTTTAGGTCTTTAATTTTTCCTCCATTTGGGTGTTGGAGTGGAAAACAGGAATTAGCATTCTGGGGAAGTTAAAAGTAGTCATTAAAAGTAGACTGACAAAATTAGGACAGTGGTTAAGTTACTTCTGGTGACGACCTGGTGGATGCACTGGAGAGAAACATCCAGAGAGTCTCAATAAAATGCACTGTTCTAGTTCTTAAGTTGGGTGCAGCCCCTTGGGTATTCATTTTCTTGTTTCATTGCTCATGTATTTTTATACATTTCAAATATTACACAGTCAACATGGGCACAGGGGGAACGACTGGAAAGAAAGATGCCAAGATATGCAACCAAACAAGAAGGAAAGAAAATTTAAAGCATTAATGAAAAAGTCATTGTTAATGCAAGTAATGTAACGGGAAGACCCAAAAGTGAAGACAGAACACTGTACTGGCATTAAAGTTAACAGCCTTTAACAGAAAAATTAATAAAAGAATGGCCCTACTCTCCTCTCATATGCTGGACTCAAAAGTCACTGAGTGGGGATGAGAGTCAAAGTGCTATGCAGAGTGCTGCTGGTCTACACTTCTGTTAAAGCCTGAGACACTACTGATGGGCCACAGTTGGTCTCAGTCTGGGTACTTTTGGGTTCTCAGGTATAGCAACAGTCATTTTTCTGCACCCTGTCCCCATTCTCACTTCAACTTTCATTTCTTAGCAGGGATCTTTGGGGTCCACTATTTGAATGGTTTGAAGGAAACAGTAGGTGCAGCATTATCATTTTACTTGGCATTAGCGGGCAGATTCCACCTTCTGGTTCTCCATGGTTGTGGCTCAGTGTCCAGCCTGGAGTATTCAAATGACAGGATCTGCCCTGGACAGTAGTCAAAGTGAGTCACCCTCCTCCCCAATGCCACGCCTATTATCCCACCACCGATATCTGTAAGCTGCGCCAGAAATCAAAGCTAAGCCTTAAATACTCTGAGCTAGTGAGGGGGTTGTATTTCCTAATCCTAATCACCACTTAAACTAGTCAAATATAATTCCCCCAAGGAACCAAGCTTGAAGCAAACCCTCCCCAAGGGTACTGCTGAGGGGGCAGCAGGGAAATGTTGTGGATGACTCAATCACCTGTTTCCAAATACTATCTAACTAGCTTCACACACACACACACCCCCCTTCGACTTCCCCTGCGACTATTCAAAGACCCCAAAGGCCTCGGTCTGGGACATTTGGGCCTCCCCACTCAGATACACCCAATCTCCCTCTGCGCCACACCGGGCATCAGGACGACGGTGCAAGGGCGTGGAGGAAGCGCACCGGCCGGAACTCCCGCCCAGCAGACCCCTGCGGCCTAGGCCCGGGTCAGGAGGCCGGCTCCGGGGCCGCGGTTCGCGCGTCCGGCAGAGGACGCGGGATCTCGGAGCCCGCGCAGGCTGACCGGCAGGGCCTGGGCCGAGCCGGGCCGCCTCACCTGCACTTGTGCCGGCCGGCAGGATTAAAGGCAGGACCAGCCCAAACACAAATCCCGGTACTACCATGTTGGCGAGGATCCGACACCCGGGTGCGGAACTCCGGGCGCGGACTCCAGGCGGGGCCGGGGTCGTGGGCGGGGCCTGCGCGGGGCGGGGAGGCCTGGCTCCACCCCTCCCAAGCCGTTCGGTCGCGAAGACGGTCCGTGGCCGCCGGGCGAGGCCGTGCCTCCCCCTTCCCGGCCGCCGTAGTTGAATTAAAAAAAAAACAAAAACAAAAAACGGTTACCCAGCAACGAGAAATAACAACTGGAACCATCTGCACCAGCTCTGAGAGAACGAAGAGGTGAGGCGGTTTACCCCACTTCCTCTCCAGATCCGAGACCTCGCCTTTTTCCTTTGCCTCTCGCATTCTCTCAGGATCCCAGACACATTCCGGGATCGCGAGGGCAGATTGGGCGCCAAGGCAGCCCATTCTGCGGGAGAGTCTGAAATCCCAGATCCTCGACGTCCCGCCGCCCGATAGACCGGTGCTCCCCCTCCAACCGCCCTCCACTCCCCTGACTGGTTCAGGGTGTTACCTGTCCTTCTCACAACCCTAGAATGACTCAATGCCTCATCTCCTGTTCCCTCAAAAACAGAAAAACATCCTCCACACATTGGGCCTCATTAAACCATCTAGTCCCTCACCTAGACCCCTCCCACGGCTTGTGGACTTGTCAAAAAATTGACACCTTCACAAAAAGGCCAGGTCCCTGAGTGTCGTCGCCACACTCAGCAGCTCAACCCGCTGCTTGGCAGCTATCCTTAATCCAGTCCTTGTATTCCAAGACAGGAAGATAAGACCTGGTCAAGACAAAACCAGAAAACACAAGAATCCCAAAATCTTGGACGCTAGGACTGCAAAATCATGACCTTGCCTCCGCCCCCCTCTAACCCTGCTGCCCCTTTCAGAGTATGTAAGTGCTTCGGAGCTTTGTAGGTCATGCTCCCGAAGTGGAAGCAAAGGGCAAGACTAAGTGTTAAACTTCTTCATTCAACAAATTAGAGTAATTTCTAGAACCAAGATTAGTTCTTAATTCAGTTTTTTTTTTTTAATTTTAGACCCCAAACAGTGTCTTCTCAGCGATTTATGATGAATTTTTAACAATGCTTCTCCCTGAGTTCCTGTGGGATAGCAGAAATTACCCTTACCTTTTAAAGGCAAGAGGGACAGAGAGAAAAAGTACTTAGTGTTATAGTGAAAAATCTGTGATTTTTGTAATTTAAAAAAAATGACTTGGCCTAGTAAATGAGTCTGTATTTGTAAGATTCTAATTAATAATGGAGAGTTCAAAACTCGAAGAAATGATGGATTGGGGTTGTGTTCAGGGGAAAGAATTGAAGTCCAGAAAATTTGGGGCTCAGGAATACTTTGTTGTCATCATTGTGATTATATAAATAAAATCAGACAAATTTAAAGACAGTACTCTCTAATGCATCTCTAGGTACAACAGGCAGTTCCTTCCAAGGAGATGTCGATTCCATTCTCCAACACCCACTACCGAATTCCACAAGGATTTGGGAATCTTCTTGAAGGGCTGACACGCGAGATTCTGAGGGAGCAACCAGAAAATATACCAGCTTTTGCAGCAGCATATTTTGAAAATCTTCTAGAGAAACGAGAGAGTAAGCTTTTTTAAAATAGGCATTTTTTTTTTTAAGTAAGAGAATAAGCATTTGGTTATGGTGAAACTGGCTTAAGACCATCCTCATTCCATAGAAAGTCTTTATGAGGCAGGTAGCTTCAAGTAACAGTTCTTGCTATTGAAAACATGTGCCTTTATGACAGGTTCTCTTAAATCACGTTATTTCACATTATTGAAGATTACCAGTTGATTACACAGACCTTCTTCATTGTATACTTCATGGACACACTGGGTGGAAGGAAACCTCAAGAGATCATCCAGTCTAACTCTCCATTTTCCAACAGGCTGTTCCAATGCATGCCAGGCAGTTGACTGTCTAGTCCTCCTGGGAGGAGAGTTTGTGGTTTTCTTTACATGGTGACTCTTCTTTCTTGAAAGTATTATAAGTGTTGTAAAAAATAATTCTATGCTCCTTAGATTAAATAGATTAGTATTTGCTGGGGTATGTGAAACTAGTCTGCAAAAAGTCACAGAGAAACACGGCTTTTAAAGTGAAATTCCAGGGGTGCCTGGGTGGCTCAGCCAGTTAAGCATCTGACTCTTGATTTTGGCTCAGGTCTTGGTCTTGGGGTCATGAACTCAAGCCCCACACTGGGCTCCACACCGGGTGTGGAGCCTACTTAAAAAATAAAAAATGAAATTCCAGCTTGAGAAGGTAATTTATATCTTTTCTCTATTCTCCCAAGGTCCCATCCTGCCCAGATTCATACTAACAGTGACTCTTTGGCTGAGAGCCAAAGTAGTTTCTTCACTTCCAGAAATAAAATGTCCAAATTCCCAGCCTTGAAGGTTCATAACTATCAAGACCTGATCCAGTAGTCAAAATGGGAATTATTACAGCTATATATTTCTATTTAAAAACCCCTTCTTGACTAGAACAACCATTTTGTATAAACTGTTTCCATCATTCCAACAAAGTGGTAAAGGTGACTAGAAGTAACTACAAGTAAGTAAGCATTTGATTTCAAATCATTTTCCAGAAGAAGGAAACCTCCCACAGGTTTGAAATGAAGCAACCCCCATACACACTGCACAGCTCCACCATCTTGTCTTCTTTGCTCAACCCTGGCAGAGCTCAGAATCTCTGCCAATTTCCTGAATGTTGCTGGTCTTTTCCATATCCAGTCAGTGTGAATATTTGTTGCACAATTTGAAACTTACGTGCCACTAAAAAGCTATTAAGAGAAATCTTTTAGGGTAAGAAGTGAATTATAATGAACATTAATTTAATTTTGTTATTATAACATTAATTTTACAAATTCATGAGTAAAAGGTCTTTAGTCATTTATTTAATTTTAGATCTCAGAAATGTCCCATTACAAAAACGTTTGAGTCATTGTTAGTGGATCATGATAATTAAAGAAATTGGTGATTCAGATTAATGGTCTCAGAATACTAGTCTCTAACTATTAAAAACTAGACAAAACTATTTGAAAAACTTTGAAGCACCATACCCATTTCCACTCATGCAAACCAAAGGCGAATTATCCAACTGATACAAGTATCAGAATGTAGTCTCTAAAAGGGAAGAAAAAAGTCCTCTAGCCCTGTCTCTCACACAATGCAAGAACTCCCTGGCCAGCATTCTTCATAGGTAATTATTAGTCCTAATTTTGATTTTTCTGACAGAAAACGTGTTAGCATTTGATTTAAGTAGTATCTGAAATCACTAGGGAAAAGGTAGACTTTTTATTAAATGATGTTGAGATAAAGATAGAAAAAGATAAAATTGGATCTTTTCCTTACATCATACACCAGGGTAAGTTCCAAACTGACTGAAGATTTAAATTATTTTTTTCATGAAACCATACAAATACTAGATGGAAACATGGGTGAATTTCTCTGTAATATAAAAGAGGAAAAAATTTTGCTAGCTAAGTAGCTATATTTACTTATTCAAAAGCAATTAGGGAAAAAGACTGATAAGATTGACTACGTAAAAGTAAACTTTTACATGACAAAATCACCATAAGAAAAATGAAACTACAAATGACAAACTGAGGAAAAATATTTGTAATTTATATCACAATGGGTTAATAAACATAATAACTAAAGGCTTGTAAAAATACTGAAGAAAAAACTAATAACCTTATAGAAAACAATGGTCAAGAGATACGAGCAAAACACACAAAAAATGCAAATGGCCCTTAACATATGAGAACATACTAAAATTAACCCATAACAACAGAAGCCCAAATCAAAACTACAGTGAGGACCACTACCCACCCCCACCCCCCATCAGACTGGCAAAAAGCCAAAAGTTTGCCAATTTATTCCAACAAGGCTAGAGAGGAAATAACAGTCATATACATTGCTGGAGGAGACACAAAATGATAATAACACCAAGGAAGAGAATTTGACATAGAAATTCAACTTCTACTCTTTTCATTTCTTCATTATTCGAGGAAACAATCCAAATATCCGTCATAGGGGATTTATTGAATAAACTAGAGGACATCCACACAGTGGAATTATATACAACTGTAAAACAAACGAACAAAACCAGAATGAGGAAGATCTCTATATGTTGCTATGGAGTGATCTTCAGGATATATTGGGTGAAAAAAGTAAGGTAGGAAAAAAGTATGTTTAGGGGCGCCTGGGTGGCTCAGTGGGTTAAGCATCTACCTTCAGCTCAGGTCATGATCACGGAGTCCCGGGATCAAGCCCTGCATCAGGCTCCCTGCTCAGTGGAGAGCCTGTTTCTCCCTCTGCCATTCACCCCACTCATGCGCGCGCTCCCGCGCTCTCTGTCTCTCTCTCTCGCTCACTCTCTCTTTCAAATAAATAAAATCTTTAACAAAAAGAAAAAAAGTATGCTTAGTATGCTACCAATTATCTAACAAAGGGGTGTGAATACGAATATATAGGTATTCATTTATATTTTTAAATGGAAAAATAAGTCTTTTAAAAATTTACATTTACATCTGAAGGAGAAGTAACAGAGTGGAGGGAACAGGACAGAAGCTAGACTTCTCTGAATATATCTTGAATTCAAAATCATAAATGTTTAACATAGTTTAAAGTGGAAATAAATTTTAAAATTGTTAAGCAAGCTCTAAAGTTTAGAAGCAAAGTGAAACAAACGTAGCTAGTATTGAATGGGTAGACATAACCACACAGAAAAGAATTATTTCAAGTGACTTTATAACACAGTAATTTGACTGTACATCCCTAGTGGATATAGCCTAAAGACAAAATGAAGTTAAAAAGTCTTGAATTGTTTTCAGTAATCATTGTTAATAATATCATAGTATAATTATAATTATAGTATAATTATAGTTTTTATACACTGTAGGACATAGCAAATAAGTCACTATCCTACTATTATTAGGAATAAGATTTTTAGCATAAGAAAAATTACAAACAGATATAAAAATGAAAGAAGTTAATAAAATCCTGTAATCCTAAATTTGAACAGAAAAATATCAGTGTGACCTCAATATATTTTCTCTTTAAAAATAAAAAAAAAATGTTTTCTAACTCTATGCATATTTTAAAAGGCCACAAAGCAATGACCCAGTACCAGTGAGCACCTAGCCTCTAGACTGTGGCCTCTAGCTACCATTTCCCAGGAACCAAGGCTTCTTAGAGAACTACCTAATTCTGTGAATTGGTCAGGAAATATGCAAGTTAAGCCTGAACATCTTACCATACCAGAAAATAAGGAAACTATAAAAGATTACTAGAGCTGTTTCCAAAGGACTAAGGAGCATCTGAACACCTGAATGAGCTCCTAATGGCCAATTTTGGACAATTAGAGCATCGAGAAGAATAATAAATGTAATGGATTGAAGTTGATCCAATTTCTTAAATATTCATTTGTTCATAATGATCAAAACAAACAAACAAATAAAACCTCCTTAAGAGGATCCTAAGGAACCAACTGATTATTCTGTAAACTGGTCAATAAAGGGAAAGAATCAAACCTTTAACCTGCCTTTTCTGTACGAACTGTATGTCAGGGTAACCAATAGTTGATATGGGTAAGTTTTTCTTTACTGATTATTCCAGAAATAAAGAAGTACTGATCAAATAAGAACATTGCCATTTTGCAACCCCTAAAGAAGTGATCTAAGCAGTCATCATCAATGGGCCCTTAAAGATTATAAAAAGAGAGACAACCAGATATTATGTATATCCTGACAATTACACTGAACTTTCTATAAAGTATGCTTGCCAAATAAATAAATAAATAAATAAATCCTGAATCAGCTACAGGAAATTCAAAAGCAAAGGAACTTGTTAAAAGTCCTCACGGGAATGGAATCAGAAATATCTAAACTGTGGAAAACTCCAAAGGAAAAATGATCCAATTTCCTCAACAAAAACATTGCAAGGAAAAAATGTGGGCTGGGAGATAGGTGAAAATCTCTTTCAATTAAAAGAGATGGAAAAGGCTGTGTGTGCCCACTGTTTGGGTTTTGATTTGAACAAATCAACAGTAAAAAAAAAAATAAGCAAAGAATATATTAGACAATAGAGGAAATTTGGATAGCTGATATTAAGGCATTATTGTTAGTATTTTTAGATGTGATAATGGTATTGTGGCTTTATATCTTAGAGATACACACTAAAATAACTATTTGTAGATAAAACAATAGGGTGCCTAGAACTGGCTTGAAAATAATCAGAAGAAAGTGTGGGTAATTGAGTGAAGCTACAGATAAAATAAGATAAATCATGAGTTTATAATTATTGAATCTGAGTAGTGTGCACATGAGAATTTGTTATATTATTCTCTCTACTTTCTAAGTTTGAAATTGTTTATAATGGAAAGTTAAAGAAAAATTCTGCTTAAATATAAATACTTCTGCCTGTCTATGTCTACTGACTACATAATATGCCTCATTTTTTAAAAACCTCTCCCATTCTTTACTTTTCCAAACTTCCTTGCTGTTTAGCATTTATACATTTTCCTGTGTTTACTGATACATGTTTATGAGTTTCTGTATTTATATTTAAGTATTGGCATTCGTTCTCTCTCTCTCTCCCATTTTATTATAAATTCTACGAAGGCAGCAATTATGTTTCTTTACTGCCTTTCTAAATATCCCCAAGGGCTCATCTAATGTTTAATTCATCATCATATATTCTGTGATCACTGCTTATGTTTACAGTGTTAGGCTATGTACATAATAAGATTTTCAGCTGGCAGTAAAGAACTTGTGGTTTGAAAAAGAAAACTTGTTTTGTGTTACTATTCTGGATTTACTTTAATGGACTCAAAATAAGTCTGAAATTATTATATTTTTATTATTTAGAAACCAACTTTGACCCAGCAGAATGGGGGACTAAGGTAGATGACCGCTTCTATAACAACCATGCATTCAAGGTATGGTCCCATGAAACTTGTGGATTTGGTTATTTTCTTCTCCCTATCTCCAAAACAGAGAATATTGCAATCTCCCCAGAATCATGAACATCATGAAAGGCATCACAAATATCTTATTAAACCTTTTTAATTATGCTGTTCTTTCTGACAAGAAATTTTTTTCTAAAGTATCTGAATCGTGGACAGATGCTTAGCTGAAATTGAAAGGTGATCAACAGGAAGAATGTACTTGAAAGTTACAGAATAATTACCCTCATTTATTCTTCAGATTGTATTGGGTATCACAATGCTTAGCAATAGCAGATCCTCAATAAATATTTGTTGAATTAATGAATGGCATTTCATAAAACACCATTTATCTAGTTGTTTCATCATCATTGACATCTTACAAAAGCCTGATTAGAATTTAAATTCATAATGGTAGAGTTTTTTCTACAAAGCTAATCTGTTCAGAGACTGAACCTACCTTCTCTTTAGCAGCATTCTTAGAATCAGCCTTTTTCAGCCAAGGTTCGTCAAAATAATTAAGCCCTAAGCCAAAGGTGCTCATTGCATGTAAGGAATCAGTGTTCCTCCTTTGTTCCTAGAATGACTCTAATTATGTACCATCCTTGAGAGAACTGAGAGAATAGTCACTCAAATCATTCTGTGTTCTGTGGTCCAGAAGAGGAACACTGGCTGCGAAAGGCTGTGTGCGACCCTGCATCATTGGCATCCACTAACTGGGAACTTGATGGAAATTCTGTCTCAGGCCCTACTCCAGGTCTGCAAGTTGGAAGCTGAACTTTAAAAAGCTCCCCAAAGTAACTTGTAGGTACATTCAAGTCTGAGAAGCACTCTTCTAGACAACTGAGATAATACATTAGCCACAAAGTACCATCAGATATTAGAATTAAAAGGAATTAGCCAAGTTCAAGTTTTGATGGTGTTCCCCAGTAGATTTGGGGAATTTCCTGGGGAAATACCTGTCACTTATTCCATGAGTTCAAAAGTGAAGTTCCATCCATTTGTGCCTGCCAGATATGGGGGTGTTTAGTTTGTTTCCATCTAGTCTTTTAACAAGATTCTCTGTGTTCATGTTTTATTTCAATCAAAGGAATAATGTCAAAAAGTTTTAAATCTTTGTGTCACATAGCAATTTCAGGGTGGTTTGTTTTTGTTTTTTTTTTTTCATCTCTTCTGAATTCTAAAGGCTTTACTTAATTAGCTTATATGTCTTCAAATTTCTGTTTTATGGATTAAAGAAACTCTTCCCATAGGTTGTGAATTAGCAATGCCTCCATTTTGGTGGAAGATTTCAATAACCATGTCAAAATAGGCAGAGCTGATTTCCCTTTTTTACTTAAATGGTTCCCCAAAGCAGAACTCACCTCTTTGACATGGTTTTTAATCTACAGACTTCTTTAAAAAGTCAATTTGACCTCACACTACGGGACACAGTGGCATACATTTTGCTCTTTTTTTAAAAACTAACAGCACTTCTTTTTTATACTTTGTTCAAGATTCATTACAGCATCTTAACAACTTTTAGTATAAGACAATAGCTTGTTTTGCATATGAGATAATGTTGCACACATTCCAAAAACAAAAAATCAAACATTTTTCACCGATTCCTTGGTTATATTTGTTTATGCATATTCCCTTGTGAGTTTTCATTTATTTCTCTTTTTTTTCCAACCTACTTCCCTTTTTTTAAAAAAAAAAAATCAGTGGGTATTTAATTCCTACTACTTCTCAATAACATACAGCAATATTTAATGACTTGAAGCAGTTTGATCCAAGACTTTACTGTTTTGGAATATTGCCTGTTTGGCCCTGTCACCCCTCTTCCAGGATCATGAATCACCTGAGAATTGTGAGTCTGAAAAAGAAAAGTCTCACACACCTGTGAAAGAGGATGAGACACCAGTCACAGCCTTAGTAAGTTATGTTTTCCATATACTATTAGATTCCTACAAGAATCATATCACTCAATTTAAAATTGTACTCCAAATATGAATCCAGTCTGTTATCCATATTGCTAAAATTATGATTTTGCTTTCTAGATAACTAGCATCATGATAAACTAACTGGTGGATCATTTTTAGCTATGCCTATCATAAAGGAAAACTCCTTCTTCCCCTTAAAAATAAAATCTTTTTTTCCAAGACTGTCAGTGGGTGGGGAAATCTCCCCAAGGGGAAACATGGACAGAACTCACCGCCTCAGTCTTCATCCTTCAGATTCACTTTCCACTTTGAGGATTTTTCACTAATTGATGCTCTCACCACCACAGAGTGGCAAAGGTTCAGAGATAACAAAAGGAAACTCACTGAGAATCACATACCACCAAACAGAATGGCTTCACACAATGTGTCATATTCACCTTCCATGCACTGCTGTCTACAAAATGACTTCCTGCCTAGCAGCCTACATCTAAGCAATAAAGACCTGAGTAGGGTCCACCTTCAAAGATACCTACTTTCAGTAGTGTGCTAGATCCAGCTCTCAAGAGACAATTGTGCACATCTCTATACAACCCAAGATCAATAATGTCTGCTTGGTAGCTTGAAATCAGCCATGGTAGGAGTATGAAGATCATGGCCAATACTGCAAATCAGACTTTTTTTCTAGGGAGTCTATATATAAACATTTACCAGCATATCACTATCAATATTCTTCACAGACCAGACTCAAGCCTAATGAGAAAGAACTCACTCTCGACAGTGCTGAAGGCCAAACTTATGAGTTCCTTTTCATGTTTTAATGTCCCAGTTAGTCACCCATTAATTGACACCCAAAGCAGGTATCCCCTTCAAGGAATACCTTACCTCCTACCCAGTTGAGGGCATAACTTCTCCCTACACTATACCTTTACAAATTATTCCAGAATTATATCCATACAACCTAATCGGCCTAACATTGCCATAAGATGCAGTGGGAGGTCAGGGAAGAAAAGGAGTCATTTCCTTACATCTTTAGTAGTTGCCCTTACTCAGCTTTTCATGACTTTGAGTTGAGATCTCACTGATTTCCAACTTCATTATAATTCATTTGCCCATACTGGGGCATCATCTCAGAGGGTTTAATACCATTCTGTTTGCATTGAGAAGTTTGAAAGCTAGATTTGCCTCATTGTTTTTTTAATGGGGTGAAGGGTGTAAACAATCCACAGGTCCATCAACAGGAGACTGAGTAGATAAATCAAGTACAAATCATTAGTACAATGTAATACAATGGTGTCATAAAAGAAGAAGAATAGGCAGAGTTACATACTGAATAATAATAGAAAAGAGAACCAAGATACATAGTTACCAAGGAAAAAGTAGTTGGGAACATTATAATTAGTATGATCTCATTTTTAAAATAAAAAGCCATGTATATACCCATAAGAATACTTTTTATACAGAGAAATTTTGGAAAGTTATATATACTCAATCCATAATAATGCTTACATCTTAGGAGTAGATTTGGAAAGGGGGAGAAAACTTTCACTACGAGTAGCATTTAAGTTTTCATTTTTTAAATTTTTTTTTAAGATTTTATTTATTTATTTGACAGAGAGAGAGTACAAGCAGGGGGAGTGGCAGGGAGAGAGAGAAGCAGGTTCCTGCTGAGCAGAGAGCCCGACATGGGGCTGGATCCCAGGACCCTGGGATCATAACCTGAGCCGAAGGCAGATGCTTAATGGACTGAGCCACCCAGGCGCCCTGGCATTTAAGTTTTTAAATGTATATGTATCACGGTTATAATTTAAAATGATATATCAGAAACTATATATCGGTACATCTGGGTGGCTCAGTCGGTTAAGCATCTGCCTTTGGCTCAGGTCATGATCCCAGGGCCCTGGGATCGAGTCCTGCATCGGGCTCCTTGCTCAGCGGGGAGTCTGCTTCTCCCTCTGCCTGCCGCTCCCCTTGCTTGTGCTCGCTTGCTCTTTGTCTCTGACAAATAA